AACTTTTGTCTTACTTTTTACCTCCTATTATGTTATCTATAATGCAGTGAAACAGTCTATGAGAAATTAACATAAGTTGATGTTTTCTTTTTGTAACACATAACCGCCCTGGCCGGTTTGGCTCAGCGGTTAGAGCCTGGGCCTGCGGTCCGGAGAGACCCGGGTTCGGTTCCCGCTAAGGGCACGTACTTCGGTTACAGTTTGTCCCCGGCCCTGGTTGGTCGTGCGGGTGGCAGCCACTCGATGTGTCCCTTTCACATCGATGTTTCTCTCTCTCTCCTTCCTCTCTCTCCCTCCCACTCTATCTGTACAAAAAATGGAAAAATATCCTCGAGTGAGGATAAAAAAAACAAAAAACAAAAACAAAACACATGACCTTCTGGTTAGCTATCACTCAGACAACTGGAATCTGGAAGCAGCCAGGGTTGCACTGACCTGGAAGTTTTAGGAGATCAGTGTAGGCTATATATAGATCAACAGCCTATATAGATCAATAGCCTATATTCATGGATCAATGTCTGCCAGCTGACTTTCAATGAAAGTTGTAAAGATGACAGCATCTAAAGATATTAGTTATAGTAAGAAATATAGAGTGGGCAAAATATATGCAAATACATTAAAATTTCTGTTAGGTGAGTGAGAGGTAGATGGAACAGGGAGATAAGAATGAGTGAAATGAGGAAGGTTAATCAAGATCTTTGCTTAATCCATTTATTTATACCTTATCAAAACTTCCAGGTTTCTCCTAATTGTTTTCACTGTGATTTTATTCCATGAAATTATAGTATTTATTTAAGACAAAAGAGAAGTCAGTTCATTTTAGACATATATTCTGCTGAATAAGGTCCAATTTAATGTAGGTAATTGTTGTTGTTGTTGTTTTGTTTTTGCTTACGGAATCCAGAGACATCAAAGATTTACATTTTTTTTTTTCCTTCTAAAATCCATAAGTACTTAAAAAACCCTTGGAGGTTGCATCCTTATTTTTATTACTACTTCAGATCAGTTTATATTTGTGTGTGATACTACCTCTCAATTGTTATAGACCTCTTTGACTTTTGCTTTTTGTCAACAGGTTTTTTATTTTTTTAGGGGGTATGGAAAGATATGAAGAAACAAATCTTGTTAATATGAAGCATCATCAGAGCTCATTAAATTCTGTTATGCAAACTGTTTCAAATTGCATTGAAAATTCATTGATGATCAGTTTGCTAAACTAAAAATAGGAAGTGTTTCTTTTTAAAAAAATATGTTTTAATCAATTTTTTTAGAGAAAGAGAGAAACACACTTCAACGTGAGAAACATCAGTTAGTGGCCTCCTTCAGGCCCCCCACTTCCCCCCTCCCACCCCCCAGTGATTGAGTCCGCAGCCCGGGAATGTGCCCTGACCAGGAATCAGACCAGGACCTCTCAGTCCATGGAACTGATGCCCAGTCCACTGAGCCACACCTGCTGGGTGAAAAATGGAAAGTGTTTCTAAAGGAAGTAATTAAGAGATAAATCAGTGTAATTCAGCAACTCCGAAAGACTTCCAGGGGTAGTCCCTATAAACAAGCAGATACAGGATACAGTCACTTCATAAATAAGTATCATTATAATAATCTATTGCTGAGGACCCATTACATTTAGACACAATTATATTATTTATTCCACTTAAACCTCAAATCATCCCATGAGTTATTTTTACTTTATGAGGTGAAATGTATCATCTACTTCCCTGGGTCACATAGTAAGAGGTGCCAACGCCAGTACTCAAATCATGGCTTTTCCCCTAAGATCCCATGCTTCTTATCTATGGTAAACAAACAAACAAACAAACAAACAAACAAACAAACAAACCCTAATACCAACCACTTCTTAGTTAGCTGCTTCATCAAGGTGTTCCCATCGACCCCCTTCTCCTTCACTTCCAAAATATTCAATAGTGGAACAAAATAAAATGTGTGCAAAGGTGTCTGTCCTAAGATGTTAGATGGCTTCTTTTATCATTTTACATTAAAACTTAGTGATGTTACAAGTGTCTGAGAGTTTGGAGAAAATAAATTCTACTCCCAAAGTATGTTTGAGAGCTAAAGATTTCACTGTGATTCAGAGCCAGATTCTGATATTTGCAATTGGATGTGTTTTGAGTTCCACCTTTGCATTACTTACCTGTGTGGCCTTTGAAAAAAAGAGTGAGGAGATCTGTTATTTTTAACTTTAATCTGAATGTTTTGTGTCATGTGAACACGGCTCTGAAGTGTCTTAAGACCAAACAGCATATTTCATATTTTGATTCATGCCTTTATTTTGAGGTAGAGAATATTTTGAGTATTTCCAGAATTTGAAGCCATGTGGTCATTCCTGTAAATGTCATGGAGATACCACTGTAAGTGTCTCTCAGTTTTTTTCCTTCCTCTCACTCAAAACCTTGTGATTCACCACCACCCACTGTCTCAGGCCATATTTCATTTTTTCCTGTGCATCATCAATTCTTGGAAGATGGACAAGATTCTGGTTATTTCAAAATTATGAATTCTTCTTAATAGAGACAGTTTGAGAGTCTGTTTACCAAACTAAAGATAGAGTTTTTAATTGAACATGCTGTTCAAACTTTAACAAGAAATAGAATTCATCGTGATGTTATGTGTATATTGTGATGGACTGAATAATGTTGTGGTTAAAGTTTTATAACCAATGTATCCACACCTACATCTCTATCTAGCCATATGAATCTGAGATGTGAAATCCACAGATAGTAAGGACCTATGTTAACTGACATTTGGTTTTGGAGTATCATTATATTCCACATCCTGGAATTTCTCTTTATTGTAGAGAAAAAGGCAATAATAAACTGGGAAAATCTGTTCCATACATTTGTGGAAAAATTATTTTCTTAGTTTTCAACTTGCTTTAAAAATAATTGTTTTAATACCATAACTCATTACCCAGTATGCGATGATTATCCACTACCAGAAAAATGGAACACGATGGTGGTTACAGAGATGCAGGGTCTGAATTTTTCTGTCAGGATTAGTACATGCACAACATCAAGCACGTTGTCAAGTAGAAAAATGCCTACAAGGATCAATGGGTGTAGTGAGATTTGCATCTTCAATGACTGCTTCTTGACTTTGTAAAGGAGTCCTTGCCTATTTAGGTCCTTTCTCTGACCCCAGGAAAAGCTGCTTTGGTTCAGTGTGTCGGTGGAAACATCGGGGAGTGGTTATACACTCTTGATAATAGTACTAGGCACTGAGATCATTCTCACCTAAGAAGAATAAATGTGTATAGCAAGAAAAAAACTCCTACAAATTACAGACTATTCCAACGCTGTCTGACTTGCTAGAAAAAACTCAGTTCCTTCTCTCCCTACGTGTCCCTTCCTCACCTAAATTATAGTTTATTTACAACTAATGTTCCATTGTTTCTCCCAGCTCTTGAAATTGTCTTTTGGAGAGCTCACCTCTTGTGGAAAGTAGTGGTGGTTTTTGTTTACCCTTTTTCGACTGCCATCCTCCCCAAACTAAAGCTAACATGTGCTCAGTGAAACCTTCCAATCCTCTTATCTTGGAAAAAAAACTATAACCAGTTGCAAAAAGTATTGCAAGAAAACAAAACAATATTTGTTAAGAAATAGTTTTTCATTGTTTTGCCCAGTGTCTTCTCATGAGTGGGTGGGACTTGTATCTGTGTTGATGTGTCATTTTTCTGAAAGATTGGACATGCCTCTGGCACAAGCAGAAGCATAAGGGGCATGGGAAAATAAACTGTGGCCTGGCCGGTGTGGCTCAGTGGATTGAGCGTCGTCCGATGGACTGAGAGGTCCCAGTTTGACTCAGTCAGGGCACATGCCCAGGTTGCTGGCTCCATCCCCAGTAGGGGGCGTGTAGGAGTCAGCCGATCCATGTTTCTGTCTCTGTTTCCCTTCCTCTCTCTAAAAAAGTCAATGAAAACATATTAATAAAAACAACTCTGGTGTGGCCTTTGTATGGCACAGGTAGAAAAAGGTCATAACAATTTTTTTTCTGGATCATAAGACTTAAAGCCCTCAAGAGGTCAGTTGAATAAGAGCTTACCTACTAAATCCTTCCTCATGAGTCCTCACCCACCTCCTCCCGCTCCGTTCATTGCCCTCCTAATTTTCCTCATCCCTCAACTGCACTGAGATCTACATTCCACCAATAGTTATACTTTTACAAATTCTCCTTTCTGCAAGTGTTGAAAATTTGCAGCCCTTCAAAGCCCACCCCCAGCCCCTTCCCACCCATTTGTGTCCCCAGAAATAGCACCGGATTTCTGTAAATCAAAACTACTGTGTATAAGAAATCATTTTTAAGAAAGGAACAAAAACTAGAGAATTTTGCATTTTTGGTGTTTTTTTTTTTTTTTTTTTTTGTATTTGCGCAGACCATTTTAGGATTTTCAGTCTCAACAAAACACTATTAAAACAAAGAATCTAGTAAAATATTTGTGCATGTACTGCTAAACAATTCTAGCAATTTTATTAAGCAATACCTTTATTATTTTTGAATATTCTTAACAGACTGGAACAAAACATTTTTTATTCAAAACAAAATATGCATACTGTACGCATGTCGCAGGGATAAGTATGATGCAGAGATTAAAGTTTGTTTGAACAAAAACAAATGCCTGGGGGAATTTCTTAGCTATAAAGTTAATAACTAAATTTTGTTCGCTAAGAGGACCTTTTCTATGGTTTTCCTTCGTCTCCCAGCTACACAGCAAACATATCTGAAGTGCACTTCCCAAGTGTAGTTAGAGAATAGGAAGGAATGTAAAGTATATTTTTTTAATTATTTGTTTTGTTTTGTTTGTTTTTTTAAAAACAGCCCTTATTAACTCTTCCTTCCACTGATTCTACTGTAAACTCATAAAAGCCTTTTTTTTTTTATAAAGCAAATTCATAGACACTCAGCAGGTGAAATGTTCCCACAAAAAGAAAAAAATACAAACAGAGCAATCAGATTTCTCCTTTTCTTCAACTATCTAGAGCATGTTAGAGTGATACAGTTTTTGCACTTGAATGAAAATGGCTAACCTATTTTTTTTTAAAAAAGTTCTTTTTTTGTGATTATTCAGAATTGCATACTCTTTATACCTGGAATATTTTCAAACCATATATTGGGGAAATACTGGAGTAAAAGTGTGTATATTCCGTGTACTGCGGGGATTTGAGCATCTCTACTGCCTCCTCCATGGCAATACGGAGGAAAAAGAGGTTTGTTTTCTCAGCCTCTTTGTTCCCACTGCAAAGGCCAGAATGGGCTCCTGGAGTCACAGGGAAATCCGCCTTCCAGGGGGGACTTTCTGCCTGTTCTCACCTGATTCTCCATGACGGCCACTTGGGGAGCCACCTGACCACTGAGAAAGGACTGGGGGCCTTGGGGAATGGGAGCTGGAGCAACTTAGTTCATGGTAATTTGTTTTGCTTTGATTTTGTTTTCAACATAACAATGTGTGAAACTGTCTGATTCCACCTATTATGGGGAACACTTGCTTGTTCACCCAGAAAGGAACCCCCTGGTCTGCTCCGGTGCGGTTTGTGCCACAGCAGCTCGGAGACCACCAGAGCCGGTCACTGTGGCCACACAGACAAAAGCAAGCGATGTCGTCTGCTTAGGGGAGGGTTCAGGGCCCGGGGAGGGGAGGCCGGAGGGAAGCCGGTTCCCAAGGCAGGAGGGAGAGTTAGGGAATTTTTTTTTTTTTTAATTTTTTGTTGTTTTCTTTTTTTTGTCTTTTTTCTTTTTTATATATTTTTTTGTTTGTTTTTTGCTATACCACGAGGTCATAGCAATCATTCCTCTAATAGAACTGACAGGACATAGAGACAGAACTATCTGATGAACACACACAATGACTAGAGAGAGAGAGAGAGAGACAGTGAAAAGACTTAGTTTACCTCTGAGAAAGCATCCCCCAAAATAAATCCTGTATTAACAAGTGCAAAAAATAAACAAACAAATCAACCCCAACCCAAACCAAAGCAAAGAAAGCCTCCAAACATTAAAACACAGTGTATAAAATGGTGTGAGAAACTGAAGTCACTTGACAGCCTTTCCGTCAATAAAAAGCTGTGTTTGTGTCCTTGTTAGGATCCGGGCCCATCTTTTCCAATGTTATCCTAAAGGCCTTGCCGGGAGTGACTGGAGGGTCAAAGCACCCCGGCTCTGTTCCATGGGACAGCAGTTCGCTTTGAGGGGGGCCCGGCTGCTGCGGCGACGCTGGGGCTGCTGCGGTCACTCCTCGGTCACTCCTCGTTGGTGGAGCCCTCCTCCAGCGCCGGGAGGCCGCCGAGGCCCAGCGCCGTGCCGTTCTGCGCGGCCGAGGCCGTGAGGACTGTGTGCAGGAGAATCAGTACCAGCACACACAGTTTGAGTCTGCTGCTGCACAGCCTCGGCGCCGAGGACACTGTGAGCGACGTCCGGTGACAGGAGCCACAGTTCTCCAGCGCCCCTTTGGATGGGTTGTTTGATTGCTCCTCTCTCCTGATGTCACAGCATTCTGGTTCATCGTGGGTTAGGAAGGTCTCGTAGAGCCCTGCGGGGGAAGACAGTGGACGGTTAGGAGGAGAGGAAGGCGTGGGAGGGGCTCCCGGTAGACAGCAGCCGTTTCGGAATCTCACTCGCAAGGCCACATTTCGTAAAAGAAAGGAAAGTCAAGGCAGTCTGGATACACGGTCAATCATTCTCTCAAACCAGGACTTTCAAGTTCCTCGCTGTGTTCTTTGATATTTCTGGTGGTCATACCATGAAAGGTCTCGGTTGTGATGAATACAGAGTAGAAGATGTCATTAGGTCAAAATCAGAACCTGAGGTTCTGGATCAACTTGGTGACCAAGGACATGCAACCATCCTTTTTCTTTAACGGGCACATGATTAATTAATGTAACTCATAAAGGAACATCAACTAGTTACGCTAAGTGAAATAACCAACCAATTAAAATATCATAGCTATAGGAACCATGTTTCCTGATCACTTCCTTTCCTGATCCTCACTGTGTCTTGTACACCCCGGTATTGGGGGCATATAGAATGGGCACAACCATTTATACATCCAAGAGGTGACCATGTCCTTTTGGTTTATTTTCTGAGTATTTCTTTTTTTTTTCTGTCCACTTGCTATTCTATTGATGACTGCCTAATGGGACAATTTAAGACTTAAATGAGATAAATAATGTAAACGTGCCTAGTATTGTTTGCCTTGACCACTACAGAAGTCTCTGTTCTTGCTTTTCTTCCCTTCCAACCTGTTCCCCCCCCCCCCCAGCACTGCCCTTCAGTGAATACCTGTCTACCCCCCACCACTCTCTCACTCTTACTGTCTCTCTCTCTTATTCTCTCCTGGAGAACCTCTTTTCTTTCCCCCTTCTTTTTCTTCCTTCCTCTAAAATTACACATTGTTCTTATTTTAAAATTGATAGATGGATGGTTCCGAAACTTTCAAAGTGGTGAAAAGAATAAGACAACTGGTGCCCTGGCCGGGTGGCTCGGTTGGTTGGAGTGTCATCCTGTATCCCGGAAAAGGGTTGTGGGTTCAATTCTTGGTCAGGGCACACCTAGGTTAGGGGTTCCATCTGTGGTCTTTCTCTCTTTCTTCTTCGCTCTCTAAAGTCAGTAAAATATATCCTCAAGTGAGGATTAAAAACATAAAAGAAAGAACAAAACAACCAGTTATCCATTATCTTTCAACCTTGCTTCCTGTTATAGTATACATATATCGTGTTTTTATGTAGTTGCCTAAGCCACTTTGTATCCCCCCTTTTTTTTATTTGACTGAAACATTTTCTCACAAGTGTTAGAATGAAGTTTCTACACAAATTTTATTATACTACACTCAAGCTTGAAAAACTGAAAAATAAGGATAGAGTAAATGGAAGGATTAAATAAGATTTTGTATGTCAAGTGCTTGGCTCAGTGCCTAGCATAGAAATATAACTTAAAATTTTGGCTACTGTTAATAATAATAGCTATTAATAGTGTCTCATGACTCCACATAAATAACAAAATCTAAAATGCCCTTTCCGCTCTCTCCAGACTCATTGCTCACTGCGCCAGCTATCCTGAACTCCTGACTCTTCCCAGAACAAGTGGTACTTTCACCCACGTCCATATCACTGTCTAAGCTGCGTTTGCTTCCTGGAATATTCTCCATCAACCTGCTTTCATTTATCCTTCAAGTTCAGCTCACAGGAAATCCCCGGTGCGAACGCTGCACTCACATGCCTGGGCTGTGCGTGCATTCTGTGTAACTTCAATAGGGCAATTATTGTTATTTCTTTTACTCACAATTGCTCATTTTTATGTCAATTTCCTTATTCATCTGACAACTTACAAGCAAGAACTAGGTATTTTCAGCTTTGTGTTCCCAATGTGTTGCAGAATACCTGAACAAGACAGATACTTAACGAGCATTTATTACATGAATAAACTCAATATATATTTACTTAATAAAAAAGAATCTATTAAATGATATATTATACACTGCAATCTTCAGTTTCTTTGAAAGAAATGAACAAGATATCCTTATAATGATGCTTACAATATTCATTTCTTCTTAGGCATTCAAAGGTAAACTTCACCTTCGCCTAGGTAGAATATGAAAAAAAAAAAAAAAAAACTGAATTAATGAGGTCTGTCTGCAGCTGTGACATTTTTATTGTATGATATTTTCTTTCATTATATAAAATAAGTCATAGGTACACTAATCATCTACTGAAGTGTAAGTTTTCCAAAATCACGTTCCAGAAATAAGAGCGTTTACAGTTGCTATGATAAGAATAGAAAACTAAAGGTCAGTTAGATCAATATTTTAGAATGTTAATAGTCAGAAAATGTTTAACAATGTCACCAAAATAAGAAGCTCTTCCAAGTTTACTCAATAGCCAGATTGCTGATTTATAACTAAACTCATTTTGGAAAGAATAAGGTAGTTCATTCAGAGCAATTTATATATTCTTCTTTTTCACTGACAAAATGAATAATCTTTCTATTTCCTCTGTCCCTCTTTTCAATAACAGTTTTTGTTCAGAGTTGTACATGCATGTATTTTAACCAGCAAATAATTCTTCAAGATATTTTACAAAGTAATTTTTAAAAATTCCTTCACCTCCCCCATTCTGAATTCTTTCTTCTCAAAGGCAAAAGTTTGTAATACTTTTAGCTGTTTTTATTTTTAGCTCCATTATTGTAAATAACCTGCTTTGTGCTTTTCTTGAGTTTTCATTTTGTGTGTGAGGATAAAACATTTATTCTCCTGCTTCTTCCAGCTTATATGATCCCCTCCATCCTCCCCGCCCCACATTTCGCCCTGGTAGTCAGTTCAATATATTCAGTGTTTGCTTTATCAGGATGTTGTAAAAACAATTCTTAACTCAGTCAAGTAGTAAACTTAAGTCTCCCATTCCTAAACCACTTGGTTTTTCCTAGAGCTAATAGGCTACAGTTCTCTGTTACTCACTAATTCAATCTCAAATACTTTACCAGCTTTTTCAATTGAGTCAGGTGCTCTATCAGTTTAATCTTCCTGAAGAAATAACTCCTGGAGCCCTTTGCCATCTGGACTGGTTGCTTTTATGCCTGGTGAACAGCCACCAGCCTGAAAACCCTCATGAACCATCCTCTTGGGAATGCTTGCTGCCTCTGTGCTGTGGGCCTCCCATCCCCCGTGTCTCATGCCTCCTTCTTATTTTGGTGGACCACGACTTCTATATTTACATTAGGGAAAGCTCATGGGAATACATTTCCAAGATGCTGTATTCTTAAATGCGTATTTATTTTGCTGCATATTTAATTAATTATTTGGCTGAGTATGAAATCCTAGTTTAGAAAATTGTATCCTTCAAATGTATTTGAGCATGACTCTCCTATTTAGTTGTTGGACCTCTGGGTCCTGTCCTTTAATTATCTCATCTCTCCTATTTTGTATCATTTCATCCCTCATTCTGCTTTCTAGAGGATTTTGTGAGTTTTATTGTGCAACCATTTTATTGAATTTTTCTTTTTTTTTTTCTACCACATTTTAATTTTCAAGAGAACTTTTCATGTACTCTCAATGTTAGGGTTCTTTTTTTTTTGAGCGTTCTCATTTCATAGTTGCAATATACTCTTTTATTGCTCTCAGGTATTTACAGCTCTTTTATTTGTTGTATTTTATTTCCTCTCTGCATGGGCTCTGTTTTCTCCAAATCACTTTTTCCTGCATTGGTGTCTCATTTATATACATGGGAAGTCTGCATGTTCTTGATTATGTCCCTACATTAAGAAGTATTGAAATCTTGGCTTCTAAGAAGTGTTATGAATTGGGAGTTATACTGTAGTGTGACCTACCTCCCCTGTTTTGATAGAGAATTTTTAAAAAATTATTTCTTTAGGTTGTTTGGATCAACAAATATCCAATATCTGTTCAGGAGTGTGAAAGCCCAGCAGCCAGGCTCCTGAGAAGATGGGAGAACATGAGGATGCAGGGAGGCTGGCTGCATTCACTTGATCCCCATTCTGGTCTCCCTACCTTAACTCCTCTCCCTCACCTAGGACAACAGCTTTCTGCCATTGTTTTTAAAAATATAGTTCCCATCCCACAAACAAATATTCCAAGTCTTTTCTCTAGGATGAGGAAGGGGAAATTGCTAGGTTGGAGAAGGAAGCATAGGCTATGGAGATCTAACAGCTTCTTAAACAGATTTCCACCAAGACGCCTTTATTTGGTCGCCTCCTCCAAACATCATACACTGTCTATTCCTGTGCCTGGAAAGAGTCTTGGAATTTTCAGATCTATAGTCTATAAATCTGGTTGACTCTTGATTCCCCTCTGCTGCTTCAAGCCTTCAACAAATCATTTAGCATACATCAATTTCTAGTTTCTGAGAGGTATTTGGTTGCTGTCTCCCTATCCACTCTTCTATTCTTTTGGAATTATGCCTCAAAACAATTTCTTTTCTGTTGGGTCTGCCTAGAAAATGTTGCTGCTCTTTTCTCTGCATCATTCTGCACTGTCTTGAACTCTGACAGATGTGTTTCTCTGTTAGATATACTCATGTACAAACAAGGACATACAGTCTGCTAAGTTCAGTGTTTCTTGCGTTAGGTGATAGACAGTGGGGTGCATCACCCAGAGGTCTCCCAGGACATGGCCACTTGCCCTTCCATATGAGAATGCTGCCGGCAGGTAGATCCTGCCTCAGCGTCTCTCCGGAAACCACGCTTGGATGAGGAGGCAGCCTTACCTACAGTTTCTCAGCCCCGGGGCAGCTGCCTCCAAGAATCAAGGCATCTGTGAAGGGCCATCCCAACTTCAGACCTTTTTCCGCTTCCGCATCCTCCTTCCCTGACTCCCTCACAAGTGTATTTCCCAATGTCCTCCCCTGGGCCAGCCTCGCTGCAGTGGCTAGCTCTTCCTCCTCACTCAAAGGAACCAGAAGAACACATTTCCAAATGAGAATAAATAATGTCTTAAACATTAACCTCATTGCACAAATACATAAGTGATTAGGGTTAAAAAAGAAAAGGAGCACATTTTCAGTTAATGACATGTTGTTCTGA